AGTAAAGGGATTCCACCCGATTAGAATATCGTGTTGAAAGTTCTCGTGGTATAACTGGTAGATTGGGATAAATGACTGAAGATAGCTTGAATGAGGAGTCCATAATACGATGGGTTGATTCCAGTAATGCGGATAGCGTAGGGGTGTATGATGATATGACATAGTCGCTGATCTGCGAGTCTACTGATCCTGGATCGTATATACCGGCAGCGTGTATTGGTAGGAATGCTAGTGGTCCGGTCGCACACCACCAGATACGTGGAAGTATATCCGGGTGAGGCTACATGGTATTGTCAGTTGATGAGGTATGGAAGTTAGGATGTTTCGTACCGAAAATGCCAATGAATCCAATACTGGCTTCACCAATCTATTCCAAAGCTCGGCCAGAATCGGTTTACAGTCTTTGATTTCGTCGGGTTTTACTCTCTTGGCCGCCCGTTCACCTCTCATTCGTGTCCCACTAGCATATAGCATGTCCTTGAACTGATTTCGAAGTTCTGTTACTCTTTCGGCTGTGATAACTGGGAGTGGAATATGTACCACTTCACCGGATCCAGGGACAAGAGCAAGAGCGTCGCAACGTTCTTTAGCAATATTGAAGACGATGACGGAACCATTTTTAGCTGCTTCTCTCAGTCGCGATATCCTAGGAGGCTTCAAGAAATCTTCGAAACCTGGAAGAGACCGAACTTGTTCTACTATTGATTCCCATTCAGTTGTCAATGCCCGATAGCGTCGCCCTTCCTCTTCTTTAGATACCATCGCCTTATCGTGCTCGTGACCGCGATCAAGTAGCTGTGAAACACCTAGTAGGCGATCTGCAAGGTCTGGATTCGTACTCCGAAGTTCATCGACCGGAGTTCGGAGCTGAAGAATTTGATTCCATACAATAGATCGGCCTTGCTCTAGCCACTCGAGAGCTCTATCGTATTGATTGGAAGAGATGGCGGCAGCGGCAGCATCTCGAGCTATGCCGCCCATCTGAACAAGCTGTTCATGACGGTCTTGTATAGGAAGACCAAGCCATGCCACAAGAGGCATGAGTCCTAATGCACATTCATAAGCGGATAATAGGGACACGTGTCCTATGAGAGATGCAATAGAGACCCATCCTTGTGCAGCATTGAAGCGATCCATTGGGGACCCCACACGGGATTGTGTAGATGCAGAGAAGTAGTGTATTGCAGCTTTCGCATCTCCATATTTACGTGAGCGAAGAAAGCGGGTCAAGAAACACCTTCCCAAGTTTTTCAAATGGCCGGTCTTTTCAGGGTGGCCATCTGGATCGAGAGTAAGACTCGCCTGCAGCTGAACGATCGCGCTATCGATATCAGCGACATTTCTAAACTGATCAAACCGCCTTTGGAGAGCATTCCCAAGGTTGCTCATACGACCGGGTTTGTCAGGGTGGCCGTTTGGAGTGAGATCGACAGCCGCTTGATTGTGGATGATCGCGTTATCGATATCCGTAATATTTCCAAATCGAAGGAACCGCGCTTCAAGAGCACTCCCAAGGCTGCTCAAACGAGCAGGCTTCTTAGGATGGTCATTCGAAGTGAGATCGACGGCGGCTTGCTTGTGGATGATTGCATTATCAATATCAGCGACATTTCCAAACCGACGAAACCGCGTCTCAAGAGCATTGCCAAGGCTACTCAAATGAGTGGGTTTGCTAGGGTGACCATTCGGAGTGAGATTGACAGCGGTTTGCTTGTGAATGATTGCGTTACTAATATCCTCAACGTTTCCAAATCGATCGAACCGCGTTTCAAGGGCAATCCCAAGGATATTCAAATGACCAGGCCTGTTAGGGTGGTCATTCGGTGTGAGATCGATGGCAGCTTGGCAGTAGATGATCGCGTTATCGATATCAGCGACATTTTCAAGTCTACGGAAGCGCGTCTCCAGAGCGCTCCCAAGGTTGTTCAAACGAACAGGCTTGGTCGGATGGCCGTTCGGAGTGAGATCAACGGCCGCTTTTTTGTGAATGATTGCGTTATTGATATCAGCGACATTCCCAAATCGATCAAACCGCCTTTCAAGAGAAATACCAAGGCTGCTCAAACGACCGGGCCTGTTGGGGTGGCCATTCGGAGTGAGATCGACGGCGGCTTGCTGGTGGACGATCGCATTATCGATATCAACGACATTTTCGAATCGACCAAACCGTTTTCCAAGAGCCCTCCCAAAGCTGCTCAGACGAGCAGGCTTGTCAGTGTGACTGTCTGGAGTGAGATCGACAGCCGCTTGCAGGTAGATGATCGCATTATCAATATCACTGACATTTCCAAGCCGATCAAATCGTCTTCCAAAAGCACTCCCAAGGCTGCTCAAACGACTGGGCTTGTTGGGGTGGCCATCCGGAGTGAGATCGACGGCGGCTTGCTTGTGGATGATTGCGTTGTCGATATCAGCGACATTTCCAAATCGATGGAACCGCGCTTCAAGAGAGATCGGAAGAGCGCCGAGAAGGGAAAGAGTGTAGATC